CAGGAAGAATGATATAAGATAAGATAATCCTTTATTAGTCCCACAACAGGGAAATTCTCAGTGCTACAGCAGCAAGGGGTGAGCAAGGCACTCAAGAAAAAGAAAAGAAGTAACAAGAAGAGAATTAACAAGCAAGTAATTAACTTTGTTAATTACTTAACAAGGTTTTTACAGTTTGTTACTTGTTATTATATAGACAATATATATAATACTAAAAGTAAAAAATAAGATAAAAATATAAACGCTATCCTTCACAAAAAATGAACAATATAAAAAATATAAGATATTTACACTGTAAGGATATTTTGCCTGGAATTCACATGGAGTATTGCACATGAGGTACTGGTTTATATTACACATGGGAATGGTGAGGAGTTAACAATATGAACATTATAAATAGAAAGAAAAAAATCTTTACACTATAGAGATATTTAAAAAAAAAAAATACTGCACATGGAGTTATATTGCAAACAGGAAAAAGTGATAAGATTCACAGTTTATGCTCTGTAGGTGAGTGAAGTCTAATTATTGATTAAATATCAGAGGAATGCATCAATTACAAACATTAGTGTCCTCCTACAAAGCAGAAACTAAAAAAACATTTAAAAGAAGGATGACGCGATGCTGATCCTTTCTAGTTTGGGAATATTGGGAGAGTAGACATCAGAAAATATATGTCTAATTCAACAGCCTGGAGAAGCTATGTAAATTAAAATGTACTATAACACGCATACACGTGCTCAAACATTTATCACAAAGTGTAATAATAAAATTGGAATTTGTAGTTTTTTCATTTAACGGTTTATTTTCTTTTTTTTTTTAAACAAGCATCTCTAAAAGACGAAGAACCATTTTCTCTCTCAGGTCACAGTCTCTTCTCCTCCCTCCCTCATCCACTGCTCTTATTTCTCTTTTTGCCCTTATCTTACCCTTCCACTTCATCTCACCTCCCTTTCCCTCTCACCTACTTCCTTTCACTGTCCCTCTCTGTTGTTCACTTTCTTCTCCAGCTCTCTCAAAAGCCTGATGTCCACCTCTGTTCTGCTGTTCTTTACAGTGACATCCTCACTCTCTGTCCTAACTGAGAGTGGTGAAGGTTCAGCATCACTATTCAGTGTTTCATTTACAGGCAGACAAATACGCTCCTACAAATGCTCTTACGAACTTCACAAACACAATACTAGCGAAAATAATGAACATGATACAAATAACATTTTACTGACATTTTGCTTGAAATCTTAACAACAAACCCAGCCTATGTTTAGTCTGCTGTTGTCCCATTTCACAAGACTGGGAGAAACTTCTGCTCACCACAAAGGCTCTATAACACATAATGCACACATCTGTGTTAGTGAAAAAAAGGAAAAAGCTCACCATAACTTAATGTTGGCCATTAGTATCATAGCTCTTAAAGTTTAAGCTGATTTTCGTCTTTAATATTGACTCAAATCCTCTGACTGCAGGGTTTTTTGTAGTGAACAGGGCCTCACTAGCTACTCTCCTATCAGTAGCGTTAGTCCTGTAACTTACAGGAGTCAAGCAAGCTATTAAAACTAATTTAAACTGGCTCAGGTCGTCAACAACGTTCACCATAGCCCATTCCGCCTTGTATTAAGCTCAGCTGGTAATTTGTTAATGATAGCCAACATATCCCGAGGTTTATTGTGTGCCGGTGCGGATTTGAGAACATGGCAGCATTAGCAGCGGAGCGGCTGAGGAGACACTTTTAAATGTAAGTATTGAGTTTAAACTCAATGTGGTCTGAAGCAAAACTTATGCTAACACTTCATTTTAGGGAGCAAGGAGCAGATAGAGAGAAGCATCTCCAGCTCTAATAAACGAAAAAATAAAAGAAATAACATCAAATTTTCTGGCTCCATCTTTAAAGAACTTCAGAAAGAACTTAACAAGAGCAGCGTTTTGTGACGCAGCGGTAAAGGCAGGAACAGGGGTGCTGTGCAGGAAATCCGTTGTAGAGCAGACCAGTCTCATTTCAGTTCAGCCTTTATGGGTCTACACAGCCTTCGAAAGACACGCCTTCCTAGACCGCGTCCTTCAAAGGATGCAGCCCCTGAATTGGGACACACCTACAGTCTCACACTCTGTGAATTTACTGAGGCTGTGTCCCAAACCACGCACTTCTTTGATTTACATAACTACACTAATGAATGCACTTCTAATGTCGATGAGTGCTGTAGTATGCAGTTTGGGACACGGGACACTGAGTGTTCAGAAGTCAGCACTGACACTGCCATATGATGTCAACTGAAAGTGGCAGGCAATAAAAGTTCAGGCATGAGTGCAATCGGGCTGCTGTTTTGAAGCCATTTAATAAAATTACAGATGCAGCCAAACTGTGCTGCCCTCCAGGGACAATTTTATGTTTACACAGATTTTGTACAGTGGCAAATGAAGCATGTAGAACTCAAAAAAGGTGCTATTCATTTTGAGAGAAAAAGGGGCAGGCTGACTGCCTCATTTTGTTTAACTGGGGTGGCCAGAGGTGTGGCCAAGTGGACCACCTCGGCCATACCTTGGCTCTGCCCCTGGTCAAAACACTTACGTATATCAGTCTTAAAGGCACAGTAACATAAATAGCCTGTTACATCAAAGAGGTTGAAAAATAGTCATGTAAAAATGAATCCTGTCTGTTTTTGGTTAATAAACCCACAAAAATGTTGTTAATGGTCCTCAGGGGGGTCCGAAAATAAAATGTAAAAAAAATGTAGGATGTGGGCCCTTTAAGTATCTGCCGGTACTAATATAACTCACGTCACTGTGCATACCTATGTAAAAATATTTGTCTCTTTTTTCCATAAAGCTATGAATCTAAGAGTCCATTATTTGCAGTTGGCTGCTTCAACGGATGCCATTATTTTTTAGCCCAGCAAACGCAGCAGTCCCAGATAGAAGACAGATTGGTCCGCAAAGAGTTAACAACTCCACTAATTTTCAATCAGTGCTCGGATTACCCGTCATAACCCCAGGGGTCTGGACTCAATCTTGGAGAGAGGAGTGAAGTGGGGCAGAGAGTTTTCCCAGGATAAAATCAATCTCTCTGCGAAACTGGGCTCCACTTCGGCTTAACCCCTCATCCAAAAGGAATGTCCATTTGAGAGGGCAGAGGAAACTGAGGCAGCTTCTGCTGGCAGAGTAAAGCTCTAGAGGTGGGTGGAGGGGCAGATGAGATCAAAATAGTGCTTCACAACTTCATAAAACCCTCAGAAAAAAACAGCATCTCAAACCTGTGAGACGTTTTTGGATTGAGTGGACTGAGATTAGTCCTGTACATTTTCAGCAAGGCGGCCTGAGGGTCAGATCCAGTCCTATGATGATAATCCTCAATGATCGCCAATAACATCTATCCCAACCACTGTTCAAGCTCAACAATACTTTGGGATTAAGATGACCGGGACAACAACAGGAAGTGGGTCAGGTTGTAGTTTATGAGGTCATGTATTTATGTGCGATTTTCTGGATACACAAAACAACAAACTCCAGATATTCTAAAACTAGAAGAACAATAAACAGTACTTTAGCCCAAACAAATAATACCAATTTCACTCCGCTATGTGTTCCGCCTCTGTGGCTGTGGGTTGGGATTCAGCAGATTGCACTGTGTGTTTTTGCACGACAGAGCTTCTTCTGTAATAAGTTCATCTCTGCCCAAAGGAGTCAAGTAGTTATTAGGTATTTGCTTTCTTGCTCCATTAAGTCGATGCATTATTTATGGGGAGAAACACACACACACAATAACGGAATGTTACGAAATGAATGCTGCCAAATAATTTCCCCATTATTTCCCTATTTATGGAAGAGTGGCTTTGAAACTCCTTCAGTTAGAAAAATGAATTGAGCTGGCGCTAGGTTATTATGTTGTTGTAATCTGTGTACAGGGTGAAAACACAAAATTCTCCCAGCTATAAAGTGGAACGCCTGTAGGGACCGACCCTTAAGAATATTTTCAGGTACATACACACATTAGCAAGGGACACTGCTGTCTCAGTCCCCACTGCACCTCCTACACAATGATCCTATTTTGGCCAAATCCAAAATACCCTTTCTGGAACAAAAATAGGTGGTAATTGTAATGTCTTCAGAGAAATCTGATAATCCTGAACATAAATCCTATTTCTAAACAGTTTATTAATAATAGATTTGGACCACCACGTAACAGCAGATCAACGTAATAATACATAAATACACTGGGCAGCCTAAAACACAGTATAAAGTGCATTCTGGTTCAGCTGTTTTGTTTAACAGCCTCAACTGAAAGAATCTAAATGCTGCGTTGATTCTATGCATGCATACCAGAGAGGGCTGTCACTATCAATTGGTAATCAAGCAATCTACTGATTATTTTGACAATTATGTAATCAGAACTTTTAAAAAGATAATAAAAAATAAAAATGGACATAAATAAACAATAATGAACTATGCATAGCTTTTCATATATGTTACTGGACAAAGTTAAACAATTTAAGCCATATAATAATAAGGAAGTCTTTTTATAGACTTGTATTATCAGTTAAAATATGTATAAAACACTGAGGAACAATGCATATAAATGGTGGTCTATAGTTCCATACAATAAGAAAGACTAGTAGGAGGGTTTTAAGGATAATTCTAAATTGAAAAATTTCTGCAAAAAGAAAAGACCTTGGTACTACATATTTTAAAAAGACGGTTATTCAAGGGTTTTTAGTAAAGGCAATGGTTCTATTTAGAACCATTTCATGCTTAATAGGATGTTTACATGGACAAATCGTTTCCTCAGATTGGTGAAGAATGTGAATACTGTTCTATGTAGCAGCAAATACAATAAAAGAACCCTTTTCTTCCCTTTAAACATATATTGTCATCATGCAACCTGCCACCTAATAACTGGCAATTCACCAAAAAGGTCCATTTTAACCAATGACTTTAATCAAGTAAACGTGACAACCCCAAGTGCAGGAAAAAGTGAGACAGGAAAAGACTGCTGAGATTAAAGAACTCACCTGAGTATAAAGTGCACTACAGGGGAGGTACTGGACAAGAAGACGTAGAAGGTGGCTGTGTCTGCGTTCTTCAGAGGTTTTGAAGACGTCTGCACGATCACAGTTCCACCCAGACGCAAGCGCATGAACGTGGGGTTTCCAGGAGGTGAGCGCAGGAGGTTGACATTGCCAATTCTCTTCATGTTGGGACCAAAGGCCTGGTTTGCACCCTTCCACTGATTACTATCCTGGGCAACACACTGGCTGGTGGGACTGGGTCTGGTCTGGTAGTAAAGTTCTACAACTGTCCCTCTTGAATCACCCCTTTGCTCCCTGCTGGACCTGGCGCCGCCTGGGCTGAACCATGCTGGCTCCGGCTTCAGATGGGCCAAGCAGAAGCCTCCATTTGCAGGGATAGAGCAGGTTCCTCGAATCTCCAGCAATGCCCAGAAGGCATGAGCTGTGACACAGATGTAGCCAGCTTCACTCTGCCCTGGCCTGACTTGATCTGACACATCCTTTACGAGATCCGTCTTGCTGGTGGCATAAAAGAGCAGTCGTATTACAGGTGCTGAAGAGCGCACTTGGCGGGCCAGAATGAAGGCTCGGACACTGGGGCCACTGTTTACCAGCTCCAGCGGGATAGACTGCTCCACAGACATGGGCCCATAGCTGACGTTGATGGCTGGCTGCTCAGTGACCCCAGTGATGATGAAGATTTGTTTCTGCGACCGCTGGCTAAGATTTCCCTTCAAAACTTGACTGGCATTTTTCAGAAAGAGATGGTCAGCGTTGAGGATCTGGTAGGTCAGTTCTGGAAGATCAGGAGCTAGGGGAAAGGTCTTCGGATCATCTGATACCTCCTCAGCCTTCATTCCTACAGGGGAATATGGATTAAGTGATATTTATGATTCTGCAAATACTGTTTAGTATGGGGGAGGGGTCATACTACACATGATATATTGCATGGGTTTGTGCACAGCTCGGTTTTTTATCTAACTGGTTAAAAGTTTGGACACACCTCAATGCATGTTTTTCATAATCTTAAAGACATTTCAATCTAAAACCTTATTGTTGCTGTCGTAACAAAACCCTGCATCTCTGAAATAATAACTTCACAGGAGACATCAAGAAATGTTTTTAACTTTCAATGTACTGTAATGTGTCAATATTTTATTCCAAGTAATTTTGGACCATTTGTGTTGGTCCATTCATCATGAAATGTTCATACAATGTAAAGAGAAGCTGGCATTTTCAAATAACGGAATAATAGGTTTTGAAATTGGTTTCTCAGACAAACATAAATAGTGAAGTCGATGCCTAGATGAGGCCTAATTTGTTTCCAAAACAAATTCTACATGTAAAAATATGCTAATTTCCCCCTCAACGAGTAGTTTCAGCAGCCAACAAGTGCTTAGCATACATGAGAACTTCTTCAGGCCTGTTTGGAAAAGCATCCCAGGTGGCTTCTTTTAAAGCTGCTTGACAGAATGATCAAGAGTGTGCAAGGAAAAGGCAAAGGGAGGCTAAAATGTGAGATTTGTTTAAAGGGAAATTCCACAGATTTTTTTTATTTATGCATAATTCAATCATTAGGATGTAAACAAACCGATTCAGAGTGGTCTGAAGTGAAGCGTTGCATTGTAAAGAAACTTAAAGACTCATTTCTTTACAGTGGTGGTGATAGAAAAAAGGGGTTTACAGCATAAATATATCCATTTTATTTGCCATCCAAAATGGTCACTGAACCAACATGTCTGAGTTTTTGTATGTATGGTGATATTGATAAAAACAGTGGTAAATCTAAAAAATGCAACACCCTGCATGTACCTCTCCACAATGAACCTATTGTAGTTGAAGTTTTAGGCCAAAACCTCATCTTAACATTGTCATAAATTAATGTGCCAGGCATCAGGCAGTATATTTGTAACCATTTCATGTAATAGTTTTCTGGGATGCAACTTTTAGAGGCATTAAATGCTTCCGAAGTTTAGCTCTTATTAACACCACCGTGAACAATTCTGACTCAGTAAATTACTCTAAAATTACACATTTCACATCAAACCACTCTGAATGACTTTGTTTATATATTAATTACTTAATCATGCAGCAATCAAAGGATTTCCCTTTAATACATTTTCGGTAACTGTATTATTCCATATGTGCTTATTTCAAAGCTTTGATATCTCCACCATTATTGTAAAATGTGGAAAACAGTAAAAAAAGGAAACAAAATCCAAACAACCCAAAGTGACTGATACTGTATATTGCAAACTGCTGTGTGCCATGTTCTAACATCAGCTCACCTGCTTCTACTTCTCAGCATTCACACAGATCAAAAGCGTATGACTGGCTCAAAGCTTTGCTTTTGACAGCCTCTTCATGGCATGCTGTTCAACAGTTTTCACTAAAAAATATCTGCAGATTTGAGAAGGACAAAAGTCTTGCTCCCTTCTAGCACAAACATCAGATTCCCCCAGAGTCTCACTCTATAACTGTGTAAGCACATTTCTTAGCATGCTGCTCAGCAAACAGAGACAGGAAAATAGTCCCAAACGCTCTCATCAGGTGTTCAGCGTGTCCAGACAAGCAACGTGTCAAATCCCTCGTCTGGAGAAGACACTTAACCTTTCACTTCCGACAGGCTTCAGGGCTCGTGCTGCCTCCTGCCTCTGATTGCCAAAGAGCAGCGTTGGAAATTGAAGACTGATCTTGACACATTGTGCATCTTTTGAAGTAGTTTGTCAAAAGGCATTCCATGTCATACTGATTCATGAATGCATTTGCAACTGCATTTCAAAAAGGAGCGGAGTGGAAATGTATGGTAACTTATGCATATCCTTTTGAACTTTTAACAGTGTTCATATACATTACTTTTTGGGGCAGTATTGTTTTGTTGCCATGTTCCAGTAGGCCCTTAGCACAACCCATTTGATTTCAGCAGCACCTATGGATTCCCACCAGCAGGCCAATTTAAAAAGGACACATTTTAATGAGGTTTTCACAGTAAGCACTAAAGTCACAGGCTCCCTACTAGACTGATGTTATCTAGCATACATATTGAATCTATGGTGACTGCAAAGAACCAAAATGACTCTTTGGACAGAGGCAGAGGGGGAAAAAAACATCATCAAATCTTTATCAGTGCTGGACAGACAGCTTGACTTTCCTCTCCATTATACAGGTTATCTCTAAACAACACAGCAGTACGCCTCACTCACAGTACACTAATCCATTTGATGAACCTTCCTACTGGCATCATATCGACTCAAAAGCCCATAAAAAACTATGAGCCTAATAAACAAATCCCATCTCAACCCAACTCTGGAAATCCCATGCAAAAAAAAAGGCAACAACTCAAAGTAGGTTAATGGCTACAGCTGCAGGGGAGTAATGAACTAGTGTACACAGTGGTGTCCAAGCACATTAGACCAAACATGAGTGAGCTCCAGTCGCACATAAGCCACTATGATCTATGGCTAAACTTTTACTATCTTGCATGACTGTATCAAAGTTAAAACCTAATTTAATAACAACACTCCACAGGGCCACCATGTTACCAGATGGAATGACCACTGCTTTGGGTGTTGTTTCAACTTCTGCCCCATAAATGTGATCAGTGATGTTGACAGTACATGGATCCACTTCTACCGAGAGGTAGTGCAAAATAATTTCCAATGGACTTAATCCGCAGTCCAACCCAACCCAATGAATTTGTTTTTCAGTATTACCAGAGCTGCACAATATGGAAAAATAATCATATTGTTGGATAAGTAGATGAATAAAAAAAAACATATTGTGATAATTCGCCAAAAACACTGTAGGATTTTAGAAAAATATTAGTGATATCAGAAACACAAAGTCGATATTTTCTTTCTGTACTGTGATGTATTTCCAAATGAAATACAGCATCAGGGAGGGTCTCTTGGCTAGGTGAGTGTTTTCAACCGATGATTACTTATTAATATTTTTTTTTTTTTTTGACAGGCACCTAGTGTCTGCACTTAGAAAAAGAACATTTGTTGTCTTTATTATAAACAATCGAATATGATACATAAATAAATAAATATACACAGATATATATATATATATATATATATATATATATACACACACACACACACGCACGCAAATAAACAGTGAATATATTAATGTATTAATATGTATTACATTATTAAAATAAAGTAGTTATGAAAAGGAAAATTACATTTTGTATAAACATAAAATATGAAGTGCAAAATAAAAAAAATAATAATAAAATAATATTTTAAATATTAAGGGATATACACATATTGCTCATAATAATTCAGTAATTTGTTAATTTTGGGATTATTAATGAGTCTAAGAGAAGTAAGTCTACAATAAATTTCAACCAGCAAATTGTTAGATTTAGTTTTTAAGTTTTGAGGAATTTGGTATTACTGGTTATTATTTATTCCCACCTGCTAGTGCAAGTTGACATCTTCAAAAAGAAAAAAGTGGGCAAAAGTCAATACATTTTGATGGAAGATTACTAGAAAACCAAGAATTGTCTTTTAATTTATCTATTATAATTAACATCACCAAAAACATGAACTAGCAAGGTTCAAAAGGGTCAGTTTTGCTTTCAGGTTGACTTTAAAGACTATCTTGCATTATTTTGACCATAAACTTTTATGTCTGACGATGCCTTGACTCACCAACACTCTCCAAGATCAAGATCGAAGTTGGTCAGGATGTTCACAGCACACAATAACACGAGTGATTTGTTAGAGGGATGTCTTTGCAATATCAGTATCAAAGACCAGTATTGTGATAATGATTCAGTACACGATATATTGTACAGGCCTGCTGCCTGCTGAGGTTAGCACACCTGTAGACTGTAGACAGCACAACTTACTCAGCTTACAACATAAACAAGTCTTTTACTAAAGTAGTTTAATATATTAATTCTTTACTTCTAAAGAAAAAACTTACCTTGTGTCATTGTAGCGAGACACACGACCGCCAGTAGCATTCTCCTGGGTAAAAAGACTGTGTTTACCATTACTGCAAACTCCAAAGACGAAGTCTCAGCTAAAACCTACTGATGTTTCAGTACTGTTACCATCCCAAAACCTGCTAAGCGCTAAAGCCAGTAAACAAGCAGCTTGCTTGGACAGCTGGGGCTACTGAAAACAGCACAAGGCCATTCTACAAACGGAGAAAAGTCAGTTATCTGTCCGGTTCAGTTTCAGTCAGCCCTTCGAACCAAATGTCTACATTCGGAGTTTAGAGAAACACCCAGAAAGCAGCAGATGTTCAGGTTGAGCGCTTCTCTTTTGTCACGTGACCAGCAACCAATAGAAGAGACGAAGAGCGTCTCAAACGTGGAAAGGAAGCGACAAGTCCCGCCTACTGCGCTGTGATTGGCTGACGGAATGACAAGTAGCCGCCGACATACCTGCAGTCAGGAGCAGCGGCCAGTGGGAGTTTTTGGATGTTTGTTTTGATTAGGCACCGTTTTGTCATTATAATTATGTTTATATATATGCTATAGCCTGTTATTATCTGTTATTAATAAGTCAGGTAAGAGCATTCATAAGGCCTACAATTAACATCTGAACTATTAATATGAATTTTAATTGCCATGGTAGAGGTAGGACAATAACTTATTTCAATTAATGGCTGAATCTCATATCTCTCTCTATAGTTCGCTCCACAGGTCGTTAAATTGTGGCTCTTACATCCAAATAGTGCAGCATATGTCCAACAGGGAGCAATTTGGGACTGAGCCAATAACTTTGGCTGTTTAAAGAAGCACAGCCCAACACAGTTGGCAGTGAGCGGCGCACAGCTGGCCTTCGTCTGGAATTATAACGCAGAAGGATGCCAGCGCCCCCTATTGAACATGGTC